ATGAGATTATATGTAAGGCTGATTGCTACGGTTAGTAGTTGCTTTATCAAATGTAAAGTCTAAGACAAAGTTGCAGAGTAATATATGAATCTTGTATACGCTTGTCTCACCTATGGATGCTGCAATCTCGCTCTTTGGTCTTCAATTCGGCTGGGTCAGGTTCACACAGGTCACTACTGCACTGGATCAGTTAGCAGCCACCTAACTATACTGACAATAGAGGTTAGTAAACACACTTGTCTCAAATGATGCCAAGTTAATGGTTTATAAAATGAAGACTTAAGATTTTTCTCACCTGATATTGTACTTGCGTCTTTAGATCACCTGGTCTGGTCTGGTTTAAGTCCGTTCAGTCCAATGTCCTCAGGTTCAGACAGGAGTCATTACTACTGCATTAGTCAGCAGCCACCTAACTATACAGACAAAAGAAGTTACACACTTATCATAACACCATGTAAACTGTGGATGCGATAAAAATGCAGAATTTAGATTTTTCTTACCTGATATTCTTCTTGGGTATTCAGTCAGTTCGGATCTGGACTGGTTCAATCCAATGTCGTCAGGTTCAGACCGCAGTCTTCACTACTGCATCAGTCAGCAGACACCTAACTATGCAGACAATAGAGGTTACACACTTGTCTCAAAAGATGCCAAGTAAATGGTGAATAAAATCATATGCAGAATTTGTATTTTTCTCACCTAACATTCTTCTTGGGTCTTCCAGTCCCCCAGTCTGGTCTGGTTCCATCCAAATTGTGGTCAGGTTCAGACAGCAGCCTTCAGTAAATGAATGTACTGGGTCGGTCAGCAGTCACCTAGCTAAACAGACAATAAAAGTTACACACCTGTCTCAAATGATGCCAAGTAAGTGGTGTATAAAATGCAGAATTAATTAATTAAGAACTTTTCGCAAGAACGAGTCTTTTTCAGCACCACGCCGCCATAATTTTGCAGTCGCCATTTTCGTCACCAGTCTCCAAACTCCGCCCGCTAGCGCCTGGAAAAATACGTATTTTCTCCCTTTAAACATCCAAAGAACGGCACACACCCCACATGGAAACGTCCAGACTATATACTGTACACTTTAGACGGATAATTTGCGGGCAAAAAAGCCGAAAATGTACCTCAAATGTTGGAGAGAATTCGCACACAACACGCCGCGCCGCACACTTGGGAGACCCCAAGTGTCAAAGGTCATGAAACTGCAGCCGACGCACACAGGCGGGACAAGTATCCTAGCGCAAATCTACGCCGACTGTTACACGCACCATAATTAAACTTTTACAGTCTCAAAACTGACGTATTCCTCTAACATTTACCACAGGTTCCATCTCGATGCCATGTACAGAACAGTCTCTGCACCTTTCTCTAGTATTGTGCAGCACTACTTTGTGCCCGGACTACTTTTGAGCGGTTCGCCCATAAATACTGTGTTATGCGGCCTTAGTGTGGACCTGTCCTTGGTGCTGAACTCACCATCAATTCCATGTATTAAGTATAGCAGCATGTATTAAGTATTGCAGTTTGTTTGGCACAACAGTACACCCATGGGAAAGCGAGGCATTGATGTATTTAGTACATGTATATACAGTATATAGTACGTTGAAGCCTGTGTATCAACAAGATCTATATTTCATCAAGTCTTATACATTTTCTGAGGATTAACACAAAGGAACAACAGGGTTTACGGAAACTCGGGTACCGGCCAGGCCAGGCTACCACAATATCAGGTATCATTTCTTGCTTAACAAGGTTTATAATGTAAAATGCCAATACCAATGCAATTCAGGCAACATTATACCTCTATATTGTATGTCTGTAATGTTGGTATGTAAATCAAGAATTGTAAAACGTGAAAATGTAGGAATCTTGTTTTATTTCAGCCCGCCTTGTTTTTTTCGCCCTATCGCATTAGACTTGGAGTCTGCTGAGGATGTCATCCATAAAATTTACTTGCTGTGGCCTAAGTGTCAACATATTATTAGCAAAACATATAATATCATGACCATGGAAAAATCAAAGTACATCTCACATAAAATACCTGAGAGCTGTGAGCCACCAAAAAGACACAGAATGCTGTTCAAACGTAAGTTCAACTGCATTCAAGCACATCATATATTGACAGAACATTATGGGGAAAGATGGCTTCCATAATGCATATAAATCAGTAAAAATTTAGCCTGGTATCCAGTCTTACGTGATTGGGGGTGTTGGGGTGTTCAGGCAGGTTGTGCCTTCGGGGGCTCTAATAGCTTCCCCCGCCCAGTGCAACAGGCCGTCCCGGTAGAGTGTTACGCTAATAAGAGACAGTATGTTTGGGATTTGGTTTCCCCCCAACACGTGGAGGGCTAATCAATCTCTCGTGAAATACACACCGGGAAACCTATGTGAGGCGGGCGGGACAGAGCTCTTGCGGCCCCGACCACGATCAGACTGGATACCAGGCTATAAAAATTCAGAAAACAGAGGAAGAAACGTAGAAACGAGCGTATCTGATGTAGTCATGTTCAAACCTGACATGTAAAAAAGTGTCCCCGAACGGCGACTTCACTAATAGGCAGGTTTAAACACAGGGAATCGTCACCGGCGCAAATAATTTACGCCATTCTGCGTTTTAGCTTCATTTCATTTCATCTCTTCTTTTTTCTTTTTCATTGTGAGGCAGCCACCTTCAACTAGCTGAAGATTCTGTTGCCTTTTTGTGGCTAATACGAGATGGGGTTTGCCAGGACTCCATCCATGAAAGGCGTGTAAAGTGCCTTTCCCAAGGGCACAAGATCGGAGACATGGCAGGGTTCGAACCCGGGACCTCGTGGTTCTGAGCCGAACGCCCTGCCGTTGCGCCACACGACCCCAACGAATTGCAACGAGTTCGGCCCAAATAGTTACGAGAACATAGAGGACAATGTTAGATGCGACTCACCTCCCTAAACGGACGTAGCTCGTCTTAAAAGACGAATTTTAACAACCGAGTTCTTCCCTGTCCAAGCACCGTGACTCGCCATCTTGCTCTGAGCAGCAGCGTGGTCTTACCACCTGATACGGAATCACCATAATTTGCATTTTCTCAATTAGATAATTAAGTTAGGCCATGCTGATTTCATTATATGGATGACATCCACTGGGAACCCCAAAACTGATGCGATCGTGCGAATAAAAAAAAAACAAACTTGCCTTCATTCTGAAATCTAGGTGGTCATGAAGGTTGAACAAATGACTTAACACACAAAGTAATATTCTATTGGCATGGAGAATAATAGACTCTTCATTTTCATTCCTTCACATTTTCTTCTTTTCCTTTGGAATGGATTTTGGCATTCTGCGACAGAAGTATCGTTTTCCCTTGTTTCAGTTTGCGGCATATATTTGTTCATTTTGCAGCTGATTTGTACGATTTACAGTATGGCCGAAAACTTTGTTTTTTTTGGAAACGGACGAAAATTCATGCGCATGCGGATGTCATCCATATACTAGTAATCAAATCAACATGGCCTAAAGCGGTATAAACTTAAACGACTCTTTTCTTTTTTGCATCATTTACGGCCTTGCACTGTTCTTCGATTTCGCCAGGTGGCGTTACTAGAACACGTGAAGAACAGCTCAATGAAAGTTCGAAGTATAGTTAGTTACAGGCGCTAAAGCCTTTGAAATATTTCATGCAAGATTGACTGTTTGCACCAAAATGTTTAGGTTTTGTACCGTGTAGTCTGAAATGTGGTATGTATTAGTTATGGCAGAATCTTTTAATATAATAACTCTTTACACTGAATTATCATTTCACCTTTAAGTAAAGGAGTAAAAAGTATTGCTTTGTTTGGTGTGTGTGTATCTGTATGTCTGTGCGTGAGCGTGTATTTCTAGAGCGAAGTCTGAATTTGTCTTATGCAGGACAAGAAAAGTTGCAAAGCAGTGTGGTTAAGTAGGTGAAGTCTGCTATCTATGATCTAATTGTCTCCTTATGAAGACATCTTTACTAGGAATCATCATAGACATTGCAATGACACACGCGAACAAGCATACACACACACACACACACACACACGCACACACACATGCACACACACACATATACACTCTCAGAAACAACACAATGTTCAGTCAGAAATACTTGTATTGTGCTGTACTTCATATTACTATCCAAATAATTTAGTACAATCCAACAATCCTTTTAACTTTCTGTACACATTTTACCAGAGCTACTACCAGTATCAAAATCCATCTTTGTTGGTAAGACAATTGTCAAGAACAAAACAAAATAATAACTTGCAGTAGTCACACAAGTCTTCTACTCTATCTTTCTCCCATTGATGCAAACTTATCAAAAACTTAACATTTCTGCCCATCCTACAACCATTTTTTAAATAATATTGCCCTGAGAAATGCTCTTAATACTTTTTCCTCAACTCTCCAATTGTTCATGAACAAGTTGTAGCATTGCTAACTGTACATGTACTCATTAGATACAAATCTGCAACCTTCAAATTCTACCTCTGGTTAGTCTGTGTTACACATTCTCTCACTGCCAAATTTCCTCTTCAGAGGGATGTCATTTAGTCAGGCTAGTGAAAAGTAAAACTACGAACAAAACTGTTGTATACAATCCAGGGTGAAATTTACAGGTCCATGTATGTTTTGTTTGTCTTTTTCAACATCACGCCAATTTAATTTCTTGTCTCTCAGGCCCCTATGGTTGCATGCGGGCCCGTCATAGGCTGTGGACGATAGTTTCTGTTTCTATCTGATTTGGCCGGCTTGCCTGCTCCATTTTTTTTCCTGCAAAAAATCCGAGAACCGAGAATTCAAATTTCTGTTGCCTTACCTGTTTCAAGCATATCATAACACATTTAATTCAATTTTTTACCTTCCCACGGCTTAGTAAAATATTAGTGAACCCTGAAAAAACAATTACTCCTAAAAAATAAGGATACTAAAGCAATTATTTTACACAGCATTGAGTAAAATGTGCCGAACTTCACACGTGCATAAATCCTTAATCCCAAGTTTTAAGCATCTCTATTGTATTGTACATTTTCCATCCCAAATTTCACACATTTGTACATGAATGTACATGGTACATGGAACCAGGTCCTTATGTATGAACAAGGCTTGACATACATACATGTATGCAGGTTACTTCAGGTAAAATTTCACTACTGAACAGTAGAGACACATATTTTTCATTCCAAATTCACACATTTGTGTTAGTATGTACATGTAATCTGGTAACTAAACTATAGAACGGATTCTACAGGTTCAAAAACCACTTCTTCCCCGTTGCGTTGTCCCTCGAGTATCGTAACCCCGGGATGCTTCTTGGTGTGAGTCATGAAATTACACTTCCTGTTGGTTGAATATCCACAGAAACATCGGAAGGGTTTCTCACCTGCAAGGGTAGATATAATAATGATAATAATGAAGAGTTTATTGGTCAATTTTTAGGACAGTAGAAAAGTAATCAACATCAGAATGTCAGCCCTAAATCTTTTGTTTATCAGGCACACATCCTGGCTTTTGGATCTGGAAAAGTGCCCTCAAATTTCCTGTCTACTCTACAATTATAGTGCCCCTGGGAGAGAACATAGCTAAAACTAGAAAGGCCAATATTTGCTTTGGAGCAAATACAGCGATGGGTTCACCACATTTTACCACATGGCAGGGAAAGAATGAGAAACACAAGGGAAAACAATGATTTACATTGATATAACTATAATATGAAGTAACATACAACTAAAACAACAGTTGGATAGCTATTCCCTACTTTATTGGTTAGGATTTTTAATTGCATAATGCAAACTGTTGATTTTCAAAATAAAAAAAAAAACGTTACATGCCCCGCATTCCAATGCTGGAGCAGAAAAGCTTGAAATACCTACCAAAACACTTGAATAAAGACATACTGTCAGTATGGAAATGCTCTGTGCAGGTGTCAATCAAGTTAAATCCCAACAGCCAATCAGCAAGAAATGCTCTGTGCAGGTGGAAATGCTCTGTGCAGGTGTTAATCAAGTTAAATTCCAACAGCCAATCAGCAAGAAGTATAGAGGAAAGCTGCATGCCTATTGGTTGATGCCCTGCATTCCATTGTGATGACTCATGCCCAGACGTGGTAAACATGGCACACTAACACAGTAATACATTAGCTATAATACAGCCAAAAAACTCAAATAAAACCATTCTAAAAGCCTGTATCACAAAAATTTAAAAAACGCCTAGGGGTATTTGCCCACTGTACCTCCATACCAAATTTCAGGACCTTAGGCCCTAAAATGAAGAAGCTGAATCCATTTAAAGATATGGCAGGAGGAGGAGGAGAAGGAGAAGAAACATCAGAAAAAGCAATATGGTTTCACCACACCACTTCGTGGTGTGGTGAACCCATAATAAAGTTGACTTCAAGTTGAAGTCATGCATACTTCCCAAAAAACAGGTTGGGACAGTTAATCCTCACTTTGGGGCAATTAAATTATATTTTTAGGACAGTGCTGGGACAATAGGAAGAAAAGTTAGCATGAAAGTTCATCTGTGTTGGTTCAAGTCATTATGAAATACAGACTAAGCTTTTTAAAGCTAAAACTTAAAAGTTAAAACTTCCAACACTTAGACTACAGAAATGGGACTTACCCCAAATTTTGGTGAACAAGGTTGATGGAGTCAACCGAAAATTTGGGGTAAGTCCCATTTCTGTAGTGTTGGAAGTTAAAGCTTAGTCTTTATTTCAGGAAGAAAAGTTAATTTCAATGCCTGAGGTATTTCTAACCTTTACCTGTGTGAATCTTGTTGTGTCTTCTCCAGGCTGACTTGTCTGCGAAGGCTCGGCCGCAGGTCTCGCATGCGTAGGGCCGTTCCCCGGTGTGCGTTCTCTCGTGTTTGATCAGGTCCCCGGACACGTTGGCGGCGTAGCTGCAGTACTTACACTTGTACGGCCGTATGCCGGTGTGCAGGCGTCTGTGTGTGTTCAGGTTGGAGTAATCTATTCGGGAAGAAAAAAAGTCTGTCACTAGAAACATACAGACATTCTGGACTAAATGGGGTAGGGAATTTCCCGAGCACTCTGTCTGCTCCTTTGTACCCCTGCTTCACCTATGAGTCAGTCAGTCAAACTTGCGTAAACTTGATTTTTCTGACTAAAGGAGAAGAAATGCTGCTGTATAATGAGCTATAGTTCAGTACTCGGAAGTGTTCCAAGCAGCTTTGCACTGAGAATACTCCTTTAACAAATTAGCTACATGTATTTTTTTATGCAGCTTATAAATCATAACTGACATTATTAACTGTCAGCAAACATTTGTACATATTTTAAGTGTTAAATTTGTATATGTATGGAGGTTTTTCATTGCTCTCAAATACTAGTCAGTAAATTTCTAGCCAGGGTACCATCCTGTGTAGTTTACACTGTCTTGAAACTGTCAATATCAATCCGGAAGGTGCCCCTACCCATGAGCAGTTCTAAAAGGGACAACAAAAAGGGTGGAGCGAATTGAAACACCACAAATAAAGCAAAACCAGCATTTAGAAGAGCCGCCCACCTTTGAAAGCTCGTCCACAGACTTTACATTTGAACGGCTTCTCTCCCGTGTGAGTCCGGATGTGGTCCTCCATCTTAGGCTTCTCAAAGAACCTACAGGTACAAGACATGCAACAACTCTTCACATCAGGCATGTGTAATGTCAGGAATTGTGTGTATGCATGCATGCAAGATGCTTGTGCTGAAGTAAAGGTCTTCTCATGTTTAAAGACACATTTACAGTTATTACAATAAGACATATACATGTACAGTATTACACAGAAAAAAAATCCACATACAGCTATAAACACAGTACATTGTATATACATGTACATGGGTCAGTGTAGTAATAGGCGCCGGTTAGACATAAAAAATACCAGCACATCTATAATTTTACTAGCACTGTTATTAAACCTCCATATACAGGTGATATTCCGAGCCCTGACTTTGTATGACATGACATGACATGCATGTATGGCAAAAAAATTGCTGTACAATTTCAAGCCTAAAACCTGTAAAATCTGTCCTTACCTGAGTCCACAGCGGTCGCACATGTAGGGTTTCTCCCCGGTGTGTTTGCGTCTCACATGCACGTCCATGTGGTGTTTCATGTAGTACACCTCCGCGCAGTGAGGACACGGGTATCGTTTCGTCTTACGGTCCCGGACGGGGATCTTCTTGGGCGTCGTTTCTTCCAACGGTGAAGCCGAGGCCTGGTGTTCTTCCTTCACTAATACCTGCGATGGGGATTCCTTCAAGGAGGAATGAATAAATATACACATCTTACTGCTGTATTCTCTTTTTTGCATTTTTCACAATAAACAATTAAATAGTGAAAAAAAGTAGAATACAAGGACTACTACAAACATGAACCAGAGGTCTGAATGCAAATTACAATTTATATAAAAATCACAATGGAAAAGACATAACACTATAACTTATAAGTAGGTAGAAGAACAAAACTTAAGACATAAATTATATAAGTAATACTCACATCTATATGCATGTTAAAGAACCCACCACAACTTTTGAAAAAGGGGTTATTTGTTTGTAGAAGAAGAGGAAGAAGAAACAGAGCAAAAACAATAAGTTTTCCTTCAGTAAACATCTACTAGTATATTATGCTGACCTCGTTGGCTGGTATAGACAAGTACACCAGGTCCTGTGCTGCCTCCTTGTCTTCCTGTGAGACGTCCTCATTGCTACAGTCATCATCATCATCTCCCTCCATCCCTTCTCCTTCCAGCATCCCCCTAGCTGGGTTCTGTCCCATCCTCGGTACCACCACGGTAACCACGGGAACTGTCGTCGTAGCAACCTGCTGCTGTCCCGCAGACGCCACGCTGAAGATGGTGGAAGGCCGCACTGCAACGTACCTGTCCGTGAATAGTTTCATCAGGTTGGTAAGTCACTGAATAAAGAGTCACTGCAGCACAGGTGTTGCTGCTATAGATGTTTTGTTTAATAACTGACCACTATTATGTATACATGTATATTCAACTTCCGTACGTTTGGGACCGCTTTGTAGATACATTTCCCTGTAATCACGTATATGTAGATGTATAAATATTGTATGTATGGGAATGCATCTATAGCAGCGATACCTGTGCTGCTGTGCAATGTGAACCAGTCAGAATTGCCCTGAGTAAGGTGACAGACGGTCACCGAAACGTCGGCTGAATAAGACTTGGTCCAAGTTGGTTGTGAAAAAAGAGTCTCTTTACTCTGCTACATACCTGACTTCATTCTCCGCTAGTCCCCTTTCTGTGGGAGTACAAGCTACCGCCTGGCTCGCTGAAGGCTCAGTGGAGGAAGGCGTAGAGAGTTGAGCTGCGGTAAGGTCTGTGGTTGGGACCAAATCTGTGCTTGTGTCCATGATTTCTTCCAGTGGGGAAATGTTGGTTTCGTTCGCGGCCGTGCTCTCGTTGTTCCCACCCTCCGTGGTTGTAGTGATGTACCTGCATGATGTACAAAATGATTATTAAACTGGTAGACGACCAACCAATAAGTATCTAATACCAGTCCAGAAAAGAACAAGAAACAGTCATGCCTTCAATATCAGAGTTATCAATGAAGAATTGAGGTGTTCAAAAACTTGTATTTTCCAAGAACTATCATAGACTGGAACTCGTTGTCACCAGGCACAGTTGGGGCATCATCTCTAGAAAGCTTTAAACAAATCATGCAATTCAATGTGCAAAGATTGAGTGTAACAAGTCATTCAGTGTGATAATCTGCCGCCGCGCCGTGTGCCTGTGAAGCTGGTGTGTTACACCGAAGGGCAGTTATACCGGCTATACACTATATATACAGATACAGAAGCTGGTGTGTTACGCTGTAGGGTGATTATACCGGCTATACAGATACAGAAGCTGGTGTGTTATGCAGAAGGGGGTTATACCGGCTATACAGATACAGATACCTGAAAGTGCAGCTTCCGTTGGTGTCGACGAGTGTAGTGTGAACCTCGTGCATGCTCTCCTCTGCTTGTTGCTGCGCGATCGAGGCGTTTAGCGGGTCTGCTGACTCGGCACTTTCCACGTGAATTTCCTGGCTGGTTGAAGAAGTTGACGGGACAGCACTCTCAGTCTCAAGTTGGATCGTTTGTTCGCCTTCTTGTTGCGGAAGGATGGTGAGTGAATCTTCTTCCGTCGCGACCGTTTCCGTTTCTTCGACGCCGTGCATCTTGTCGATTTCACGGTACTCTAAGGTCATAAGCTCGTACAGGATGGTGACAAGGTCGTCCTTGCTGACGCCCTCCCCGCGTACGTCGATGTTCCGACGCCCGAGCTCTAACATGATCTCCTCCATGTACAGTCTGGGCAGCACGGATAGAGACACCTCCTTACACAGACCACACAGGCCTTTGGTGGCCAGGTCACTCAGCGACATGGTCTGGAAAACAAAACAACAAAAATAAATGCAAATTAGTACTAGTATCAGTGACATGCCGGACAACAGAAAAAAATGTACTAGTTTTGACACAACAAAAGCAAAGCAACTTTAATAAGCTGTTCTGCAACTTTACAAACATACAAACAATCTACACATGTTGTAGTTGTTGTACAACATGCACATGCAACATGCACATGCAAAACCATGGTCCTCTTGCAATTATAGGGGGAGGGGGGCAGGCATCTTGTGTGGAATTTTCTTTCCACACTGAGACAACTTTTACACATTAGATAAGGATAAACAGGACACAACGCTTTCTTTTCTCTTAAATTGCCACCATAACTATAGACGCCTTCCGATTTTTGTCACAATTCAGCACAAATTATAAATTCATGCGCCAAGATTTCTTCAAACGCGCGCGCGTACATACACAAAGCCTTCCTTCTTCAAACAAAATCGAACACTTATTGCCACAAAATAGACACTTATAAGAACTCTAATCATTATATAGTTACTTACCTACCTATCTGTGTAGAAGACAACGTCTAAATGAAGTTATCTGGCAGGGAAACGACCAAAAGCGACAAAATCTCGACAAAAACTGAAAATTCTGAACTGTTCGCTAGTCGGGGGTGGGAGGGGAGCGAGACGAACGTGACCTTTGACCCGAAGTCACCTGGTTACCCACTTAATGCACAGTCACCACAACAGAACGAATAGTGCACGTTGTCTTGCATTTAGTACAGTACTAGTATATCAGACTATCAAAATTTGTATCACTTCATTTGCCTAGCAATCAATAGTTCGTGTTTATAAACTTACTGAATTCTAGAGCTCTCCAGTGTCACTTATAAATACGTTTGACTATTTCCAAAATTATATCCAGTATGAGTTGCCTAAGTAATTGTCTTTTGGCGTAGATCTAAAGTACTGTATAGTCCTGCATCAAATGATTGTTAGACAGAAGAAGTTGTCGGAAGAAGAATTCTAATAAAGTCAAAGTGTTGTATACGTAAGTGGTAACCTTGGCGTAGTCTTCCTGTCTTTCTATGTGGTTATATAAGTAACAGAAATTTAAAAAAATCTGCGTGACGTTTCTTTAATAATAGGGATCGACCGATATTGCGTTTGACGTCAATCATCTCGTGTAAAGAAAACGGTGGTTCTGCACGAATAGATGTTGGAGATATTTAGAGAAGCTAAATCAGGTCAAAAACAAGTCACGGCACATCTCTGGAGAACATACGTAGTCATGCAAACTGATTTTTCGTGTAGGGAGACAACGATTCGGCATCAATCCTGGAACCCAGACTGTTTCAAGGGCCTACACAGGCCAGCTCTTCTGCACCAAGACCAACATATCCCCGAGAAAATCCTCCTACAATCCTCTAAGGAAGGGCTGTTAGCTGAATTCAGGCAGGATAAAATGGGTTTAATAGCCAGACGGGGACAAAATAAGTTACTGCTTTTGCCCATTATCTGTAACTAACTATATAAAAAATGGATATGGTGCCGAGGGAAGCCTGCATCCCTGGGAGAGACTGGCGACCAGCTTGTAGGTTCAAATGTTAGAAAAAAATCCGTCTGCAATTAACTTGCCACTGCTATTGACGACAATGTTGCTTGGTGACCAGAATGCCGGGGATTTATATGATTTCGATGTCATGCGGTTTAGTTGCAGGCGAGTGGTTGAACAGACCAATAGTAATGTGTCGAAACATGTTCCTTTGTTATGGCAAGGCTGATGTTCTATCAGATTAATAACGAATTCATCTCTTCAAGATTCCGCACATTTCGGCTCACCTATGCTCACGTGTATTGTCCATATGCATATAACAGGCTGTCATAATCGGTTCATCGGCTGGGTAAAACGGTTGCCACAAACATGCCTGATCAACATCAGATTTTTGGCACGGAAAACCCCGTAGCGAAGGGTTTCCAGATCGCTTACCTGGTCATCATAGTCGCCTTGTCGGTGGTGTGTGGACTGTTGGTGATTTATTTAGTGTGGAAGAAGGAGTATCTACAGAAGCCTTGCCACTACCTCCGCTGTAACCTAGCTGTAGATGACATCCTCTTCACCGGTCTGTGTGTCCCAATTGTCATCCACAACATCAGCCAGGGGTACAACTCCGCAAGCTTCACACTCTGCAGGCTGGAAGGTGCGTTTACCCTCGGTGTTCTGCTCTCCAAGACCTGCACGTACCTCTTCATGGCCATGGACGTGTACTACTTCGTCATCCATCCTCTGCACTACACAGACCGGGTGACAACCCGACGCGTGGTCTTGGCCATCATCGCAGCCAGGATCTTGACCTTCGCCGTTGCTCTGACGTCCATGGCCGTGGGTGGATCCGGCAATGTCCAAGATGTCTCCGATGTCCTCGTCTGCTTGCCTGGAATGAACTCCAGTCCTAGGAACACCGTGCTGGCCATACTGATTGTTGTCGTGCCGATCGCAGTTCTCGTCGTGTTAGCAGTCGGGCTGCTGTACTACCGAGTGATGAAGGAGGCAAGAGGGCAGCAGGATCGGGACGAGAACCGGCATCTGAAGCTTCGCGAGACGCAGGCCTTCAAAGCGCTGGCGCCGCACTTCACCGTGGTGCTGGTGTTCGTGGGAACGGCCATCGTGTCCTTTATCTTCGCGCGTGCGGCCCAGGCGGAGGGTTCCGGCGTCTACCTGTCTGCGGCCCGGAGAGTCGCGCTGCTGCTGCACCTCAGCCTGTCCTACATCACCGACTCCGTGGTCTACAGTCTGAAGAAGGCAGACTTCAGACGCGCCATCAGGGAAGTCCTGCCGTTTGCTAACAGCGAAGCACAGCCTCTGGCGCCTCGCCACGACGTCCCGACGGTCGATAGTGGATTACCAGAGGTACAGGTGTGAGAAGATAAATACATGAATGAATGAACGAATGAATGAAAGAAAGAAGAAGACAGACTTCCGACGCGCCATCAGGGAAGTCCTGCCGTTCGCCAACAGCGAAGCACAGCCTTTGGCGCCTCGCCACGACGTCCCGACGGTCGATAGTGGCTTACCAGAGGTACAGGTGTGAGAAGAAGATAAATAAATGAATGAACGAACGAATGAATGAAAGAAGAAGGCAGACTTCAGACGCGCCATCAGGGTAGTCATGTCGTTTGCCAGCGAAGCACAGCCTCTGGCGTCTCACCACACCGTCCCTACTGACGATCGTGGCTTACCAGAGGTACAAGTGTAAGAAGAAGACGGACTGAATAGGTCGAGAATGTTGGTAAATCCGTTGGTTCATTTGAACCGCACTCGGAAGACAATCTTCAAAGTCGGGCAGCTCGTGAATTAAGAATGTATATACTCCAGAAAATTGTTACTTAAACAACTGGATAGGTTCAATCTACCTAGTTTCTTGAGTATTAATTTCCTTGTGTATCTCATTACCTGCCATCACCTTACCGACGTAATGCAATATACTGTCTTCATGAGTGAAGACCGGCCATATGTTGGGCAGTGCATTTCCAGTATGATAACATGTGTGTTAAGTAAATGTCATTTATGTATGAATTTGAACCGATCCCCTTAGTGCAAAATGTACTTTAGAAAACTGGATGCGTGAGTGAAGTAGTTGAACGTTATGCATAAAAATCAGCCTGTTTGTCTACTATCTGGCTTTTAGAATGTGTTATTTAATTACGTATCCAATAAGATCAGAATTTAACTCATCATTTTCATTGTCGGATTGACCTAGAATATATATTGCTTTTTCATCATTGTGTGGACGTCGCTGTGAGTACATTTCAAAAGGAGATGTTTGTATATAATTCTTCACGTGCTTACGAAAATTGGAAAATACCTTGTCGCACTGCAGTATGATATGTATATTATAATGATCCCAGGCTCTTATATAAAGTTTACATAAATTCACATCGCATATCTATATGCTTGGAATTTTTTAGATAAGTTTAAAAGAGATGAATTGATTCTTCGATGTTTATGTATAGAGTGTACATAATTATATATGTGTATTATGCATATACTATCTGTATATACTGTACATATGCGTTTGTCTTTGTTTGTACAGTATTGACTCATACATATAGTATATCTTGAATGTTTCTTGTACATTTTGTACTACACCTGGTGCCTGCGTGAAAAAGATAATAAACCGTATAAGACTGCACTTACTCAATGGCTCCATCTTGTTTATATTTAATATAGAATTGCAAGAACAAACCTGTATCGTCCCTGTTTCTATTCTTTCTATCATTTTGTCCCTTAGTTGAGAAATTAATTGTCTCTCTCTTATCCAGTCTCACTCGATACGTTTGGTGCCATTTATTGTAATCGAGCCTTTACGTCACGAATGTTTGACACCTTTACTGCGATGTGTTTAGAAAACAGGCATCGGTGATATGATAGAGTACTCGGGCTGTTTTTACCAATGACTGAAACAAACTCAATACTGCGATCTGACAGATTTTAGTATATCGTTTGATCTAACTACGTACATGGTTGATTGATTGTTTGTTAGCGTCCGGTGACTATGGAACATAACCCACTCGTTCGCTCTTCCATACTAGTATTTCGTGCCTCCCGGTTGATAGCATAACTCAGAGCTACAAGTTGAGACAACAGCTCTTTAGCCAGCTAGTACGTTTTGAGGAGCAGATCTGTGCTGATTATCGACTGTTGAGTCAAGCAACTGTTTTGACTTGGAATACAAAGATGAGCAATTCTGCCAACAACGAGTCCGACTATCTAATTTTCGGCACGGACAATCCTGTGGCACGGAAGCTCCAGGTGTCCTACCTAGTCATCAGCGTCGTTCTTTCAGTGGTTTGTGGACTGCTGGTTATTGTTCTAGTGTGGACGAAGGACTATCTACAGAAACCCTGCCACTACCTCCGCTGTAACCTGGCCTTGGACGATATTCTTCTCACTGGTTTTTACGTTCCTACTGTTATTCATAACATCAACCAGGGGTACAACTCTACAAGTGTCGAATGTTGTAGGGTTGAGGCGGTCTTAGTGAACAACCTGCTTTTGTCCAAGACATTTGCGTATTTGATGATAGCAGCAGAGGTGTATTTCTTCACCATTCATCCACTACACTACAACGACAGTATCACAGCGAAACGTGTAGGCATCGCCGTGACTGTTTCTCGGACCACCAGTCTTTTATTATCGGTTGTATGCGTGGTTGTAGGTGTATCTGACACCAAGACGGCAGAAGAAGTGCTGTACATCGATGCATGCACTCCTCTCGCGATTTCAACGTCATACTCTTCTGCGATGCTCACTGGGGCAATAACATTGCTTATAGCAGGTATTGTCCTTCTGACTATTGGATTTATGTATTACCGAGTGTTGAAGGAAGCAAGACAACAGCAAGACAGGGACGAGAATCGTCACATGAGTCTTCACGAAACCCGCGCCTTTCGTACACTTGCACCTTCGTTCGCCATTGTGTTAGTGTTCGTATTTGCCAATACCGTGTGTCTAGTTTTCGTACGGTTAGCTAATTCGGTCGGAAAAGAGGCAACATTCGTCCTTCTGGTGGCCAGAAGGGTTTCTCTGCTTCTAGCCTTTACGTTGTCGCCCGTCACTGACTCTGTGTTTTATAGTCTCAATCAGACTCATTTTAGGAAGGCTCTAAGGGAAATGTTTCCAAAGATCTACAACCGGATTCACCCCGAGACGACTACAAATGGAGCTGGGATAAGCGAACCTCTCCCGTAGACCTTTCTTTATTCAAGTTGCAGCAAAACATGTGGAGCACTAGGCAGCAAATTCAGCTGAAGTGTACTCCAACCTGGGTCGTACTAGGGCGAAGTATGCTGTCTCTACGACATCAACACCGCACGCCGTTAGAGACCCCCATTTCAGGACCAAGGACATCACCCGCGCGCCGCGGACGCACCGCTACTTCGCTCCGGCGGAATCTCTCTCCACTGAACTCATCATTAATGTGTACACATATATCATTTGTGCTGTTCTACTGTATTATGAACCGGTCGGTCACATCTTTTGTTTTACTCGTTGTCGATTTTATCACCTACTCTTTGTCGGTTTTGTCACCTTTAGAGGACCAAAGAAAGACCAAAAGGACGACAGAGACAAAACGACAGAACGGCAGAAATCTTAAGGGAAAGCCGAAGATCTAGTATCTTTTCTGTATACTCATTAAATGGTTGTTGCTATTGTATACATGTATCATGATCATTTTCCACTAATATTAGTTCAAAAGGAGACTATTATTATGATGTGAATTTTCTATCGGTATCGGTATCTAAATACATGTACATTTGTCCGAGTATTCACATTGGCTGAATGTCTGAATAAGTGTATATTAGACTGGATTTACGAAATATTTGCTAGGAAATTTTGCCTAGGATATTTCTGTGTTCATCTTCAGTCGAAATCTTGCACCACGGCGCATACTACTGAGAGCTTCGTTATGTTATTAGAACGTGTAGAGTTTCTCAGACAAATACGCTGTAGGTAATATCCATTACTAGTAGATTGTATAACGGTTGTGATGAAAACAACATTTGCCTGACCTGATACCCCTGAGCTTTTTGCGTGACATTGACACCAAAGTGTTGTATGTAGTTAGCTTATAACATAACGTGCTGAAAGATAGATATATTATGGATATAGCATGTGATTCGCTATAAACACACGTCCGCACTCTTATCGTTTTATACTAGTCAATGTGATCGTTTATTTACAGGCAAAAAAAAATTGGGGGGAGGGAGGCAGACCTCTCTCTTTTTGTCTTTTTATGTAGTATTTTATGCATCATTTACACTTGTATATTTTTGCGGTCTGATTACATATACCATTTTATGTTACAAGCAATGTTTGTTTATAATTACACTACCGGTCCTGTCATCTTTTGATGTACAGTACCATCTGAGGGTCTCTAATGTTTTACAGGAAAGCCACGTATTGGTAGAAGATCTAGTTGCCACATATCCGATGACTTTACACACGGAAAAAGTCGTCGTATAACGTTATGACGTGATATATATTTTAAGTTATCCAATGATCACGTACACAAATGCCGTCTAGAAGTTAAAGGTGGCCCTAGCAGTATCAAACTGGGGGTCACATTGCATGAGGAGATGTTTACCTGTTATGCAAATAAACAAACAAACAAACAAACAAACAAACAAACAAACATCATAGCTGTCTGCTTTTATCAAATAGTGAACAGGTATCAGGTGCATGGTATCAGGTTACAGGTGAATTAATGTGGTATGGGTGGTGCCATATGGGTGAATGGGCGAGTGGATGTCAGGTGTCGTTCGCAACCAAATGTAAAGCGTCAAAATTATTCCTTCATTCATAACTGAAAATATATCGTTTAGTTGAGATCAAATTATTGCACAGCATTTGCGTAGAAAATTGTATAAGTGATAGGGAATATTTTTTTCGGTTTTTATCACTTCATATCTGCAAGATACGCGATACGCGTACTTTACGTTTGGCGGCGGTGGCAAAAGCAAAATGGCGATGTTCGGTCGAGAAAAAAATGGAGAGGGGGAAGAAGGAGAGGTCACAGGGCCTTCCCCTGACCTGGACTGGTCTCACGTCCTGCTGGGGGTGGGCATCACAACCGCCTCTCATCCTATGACTTACGTCAAAGTCCTGATCCAGGTGAGAATATCCAGTTGTTGTATATAGGTGTAGTACGAGTAGGGGTGGGGGGTGGAGCCCCCCTCCCCACACTTGCTAGTATGAGCAATCATTACCTAGATTAGATAGTTTTAAGCAATGTTTAGAGTTAGATGTTCATGGGTTAGGTGTAACAAATTGTTAGGTGTAATGTAGCCAGCTGCCGCTGCGCCGCGGGCCTGCGAAGCTGGACTGTGTTACGCCGAAGGGCGGTTATACCGGCTATACAGATACTTAGTATACAGATACAGAAGTACGTGAGTTTTTGGTTATCACATGATGTATAAAGTGACTGTCCTTCGTTTCAGTTCAAGAAGCTATTTTGGGTTATGTGAACTGTTTCTGTATACCGGCTACTAAGGTACTAGACTGAACCTTTTATTTTCTATTCATAGTGTGATTTTACATGTTACATGCCCGCCATGCAGTGTACTCCAGTAAAATATGGTATGATGGTCTGAAGAAGAAAATATGGTCTAAAGCTTATCATAATTTCTTTTTCCATGTTCAAGGTGGCATATATACCAGACTCATACTCTTTGAAATGGTTTGTATGATTGGTTCAGCATGAAAGTTCATCTGATATGTCTGATTGGTTGTTTTGAAATGAGAACGCCTAAGATATATATCAAATAGTGAATATATAACGTAATGAAAACTTTCTATTGTTTCTTTAAGGTTGGTCATGAGCCCATCCCACCTCGTGCCACCACTAACCTGTTTGGCCGGCCCATCCTGATGCTACCAGGACTGCTGCAGTACAGTAAGTTAAAGTCGTTCTGTACATTTACAGTTATTTTAGGTAGAAATTGTAGCTGTGGAGTTTCTTTCGCCCTCTCCATTATGTGGGTAGAGGGCAAAAGAGACTTGGCAGATAATATAAATAGGTTTGCCTATTGGTTATCAGGCTAGGCTAAAGAAGCTCAGAGTTGAACATTTTATTTGACTGTCATGTGTGAACTATTGCCTTATGACAATTGCACTTCTTATATGCATCTATAACAGCTTTCAAACAGTCAACTATTAGTTTGTCTTGCAGTTGTACATTTTATTTATTGAAAATGCAACAAGACAATTACACTGACTCTCAAGGCAGCAAAGCTGATGTTAGAGAGTCAACACATAAGGACAAAACATATAGGGCACATAATATCAACAGTGTGAAATTACAAAAAAAAAAAAAATGATCATAAGAACCTATATCATTCCAATTAGCCGAGTAAATATATGTACACATCTAAAATAACACATTTGGAGGTCAGAGGTCGATAAAATAAGTCACAGTCAGACTACCTTATATGAGAAAAAAAAAGGATACTGTTGTACATTGTATATAAGGATTCATTCATGGCTGGGGGAGTGTAGAATGCAGACTGTAGAAGTTTACAGTTTGTTTAGAATAGGCACCTTAGCTTAAACCTACAGTGACAATTATTTTGATCCCTCCAATGTAACATTCTCCATCCCTCCAGTGGGCCACATCCGTAAGACAGATGGATTCCTGGGTCTGTATCGAGGCCTGCTGCCCAGGATCTGTACTGGGATCATTGGAACCAGTGTCAACTCTCGTATCATGGAGGTACGTAGCTTTTGTTGTTTTTATTTAAGTTTGCTCAGTGCAATGCCACATGCGCCACTGAACTAACGCTCACACTAGTACTATAGCAGCATCTCTTGTCCCTAAGTCAGAAAAATTAGGCTTATAAGCTTGACTAACTGACTCAATCAGGTATAAACTTGACTAACTGACTCAATAGGCAAAGCAATGTAAACTGTTCTCTTTGTATGCAGAATTCAGTACATGTACATACTACATACATGTACATAACTTGCCTCTCTGTTGCCTTGTTTTCAGCACATGAAAAGCTCCCATCCTGTTGATCCAATCAAGGATACGGATGACTTGAGGACTGTTGCCGAGAAGTTTGTGAAAACGGTATGTTGCATATTGAGATTTTCTTACACACAACCAGGGATTCTTCTGATCTTGCTTACAGTTTGTGTATAAGAAAATCCCAATATCCTATGTTCTATATGTTCTACCAACCTGATGAAATTATTTTTGGTGGTAACATATATCCTTCATATAGGTCTACAACTTAGGTTTATGAAAATGAAGAGTGTTTAACTTTAAAAGCAGTTGATCATTGTTTAAATGATTTGCATTTATATGTACATGTATACTTGTCTTGTGACTTACTCCACTGCTCCCCCTACAGACCTCCCAGGAAACTGCAGCTAGATGTCTGGCAGTGGTGGTCAGTCAGCCCTTCCATGGTGAGATTCAAAAAATCACTTTCATTGAACCACAAAATATAAAGATATAATGTCTCTAGTAATCTGGTATTCTCTTTTATCCCAGGTTAATTCAACAAGACTGGATGTGATTTATAAAGACTAAGTCTTTGATCTTATGCCACTTAAGCTCTTTTATATATATTTAGTATGTTGATCCTCTTGTTTAAACAAGTGCTGTACTCTGTTCCAGTTGTCACTATAAGGTGCATGGTCCAGTTCATTGGAAGAGAAACAGCTTACAGGTATTATGCACTGTAATATGTATACAGCACGGTCTTCTTTTATTTCTAACCTTCTCCATATAAAACTCAGCAGGGAAAGGCTTTAAGCCTGATTTGTGTACTTCAAAGTGTGTGGCTTTTGTGGTTACTTCTTCATTGTAAATCACCACATTGCTTCTGGAAATTTTCAGTTTTTATTCCCCAAATGTGAATGAATTAACATGTGATATATCTTCATTGTTCCTGACATGTTATGTCCAACTGTAGTAACCATTTCTTTTTTTCTGTCCCATTTTCAGTGGTCCAATTTCTGCAGTGAGTGAAATCTGGAACAATGAAGGCATTTCAGGGTTCTTTAGGTCAGTATATTAATCAAACAATATCACAATTTTTAATGTGACATATATACCATGTGACATATAGTACTTTTCTTTAGAAAGGAAACATAATGAGATTTTGCTGACATTCTACTTATTTTATTTTATATGGTGCACCCAAAAAATTTTTGTGCACCCAATTTTAGGTTGTTTGCACCAGTGCACCTATTCCCAAAAATGAATTTCGAGCTCTGACTGACATCGATATCTGATTTCTTGTTTCCCTCAGTGGTCTAGTTCCCCGACTGTTGGGAGAAGTTTTCACCCTGTGGCTGTGTAACATCCTGGCTCATCTCATCAACACCTACCTGCTACCTAATGATGAATCGGTAAGTTCTCCCTACATACTAAGTCATAGCTTTGGCAGTTTATGGATGCAAAAACATTGGAGAAAATGTATCTGATACAAAGAAGTAACATTGTGATTGTTTATGAACTTTAAGCAGGAAAAAAAAACAGATTCACTCAAGACATGTTACCAAGGAACTCCTGATGAAAATGTGTGATTATTGAACTGAAATAAAATGGAGTAGTCACAAGATGAAGTACCTGTGTGTCTACTGAAGCACTTTTTCTTTAATGCAAAAATGTGTGCCTTTGTCTGAATTTAAAATTGTTGAATGTGTTTCAAATGTGTAATTTTTTTTGGTAGATTGAGGTGGGCTTGTAAGATATCCACTGTAAAAATACACCATCGATATTATGATACATCTGTTCAAAACTTCTGTGTGATTCCCTTACAAAGTTATAAGATACTGTATTACACATCATGTGTTCTACTTTTCGCATGACCCATTCATAGATGAGCATCTCTGACATGTTTTTTTTTTTTCTTCTCTCCTGTAGATGACAAATGTAAGTGAGTTCAAGAGTTACTCCCAGGCCATCACTGGATTCCTGGCCAACATGGTGACCTATCCATTCACACTGGTGGCCAACTGTATGGCAGTCACAGGATCAGGGTTAGTACCAAATTCTTCTATATCTGCATGTGCATCTGTTAGTCAAATCCAAGTTCCTTCCTGTCCCTATATATGGTGCATTGGGCAGCACTCATCTCTGTTTCTGCATGGCAGTCACAGGCTCTGGGTTAGTAAAACATCTTCTATATCTATCACGAAAGTTCATTTGTGTTGGTAGTTACAATTGTTTAAGGTTAGATCTTTTGTTACACCACAGAGGATTGTTCTCACCTAGAACTTTCAACCAGTCACTCTCAGACTGGTCTTGTACAATAAGGAAAAGAAATAATGGTGTAACAGTGGTGTTTCAAGCTCTGAACAGATTTTAGTATAAGTCCATACTTCCAAAATTCTGAGTGGTGCAGGTAAAATATTTCTGGTGCAGGTAATTTTCAATCTTGCCTGCTTCAGTGTAGTACACTTGAAAAAAAAAGGATTTTGAGCCCTTTCTGTACTTCATACAATCATAGTCTAGAACTCTGCAGTCAAGCCTATGTCCCTTCTAGTGTAAAGATATCCCCCCATGTGTCTGTTACCCAGGCTTGCGGCAGGACAACATCCCCACATGCCGTTATACACGGACTGGAACGACTGCTGGAAACACCTGGACAGAATGGTAGGTATAATGTGCTGTCCTTGTCACCAGCTAGAGCTACCCCATTGTTTCTTTGTACATGTATTTCAGCTGAATCATTGAATGGCAGAAAACCTTGGTACTGATCTTTGAACACATTATTTACCAGCTACATTTCACAGTCCTATGAAACCTCTGTGTAATATCGAAATGAACTCTTGCCTCCAAATTCTACCCAAACTTCCACACATATACAAATGAAAACTACTCTCCTCTTAACATCCAAAAACCCACAAATTACAGAAAAAGTGGGATTCTTTGTCTTCCTCTGTCTTCAAAACAGAAGTCAAACCCAGTAGTTTTTACTAGTAGTTTCTTAGTAGTTATCAGTAGTTCTATGTGTACTATTTGTCTGTTTTTATACCATAGGTTTCTTCTGCTCCTGCAATTAGCCCTCGGGCACGAATTTGCAATAAAACAATTTTATTATTATAGTAATATCACATGATGCAGAAGTACTGACATTGTGTCCTGTCTAACAGTGTGAATGATTGTATATTTCAGGGTCAGTTGAAGCGAGGGTCCAGCCTGTTTTGGAGACAGTACCCCAAGAGACACTACGTCCTCAACAAAGGGGGGTTCTAAACACAGCAAGAGTCATCTTCAATTTCTTGAGCCTTTGAAAAAAATGTTGTGTTTCCTGTCTCCGTCCAACCCTAGAAAAAGTACCGACCCTAGACTTTTTTTGGTGGTGGACCCCTGCAAGATTTGACAGGACATAAATTTTAAATTTTCGATCTGATCAACGTTTCTAGCTCCATGCTCTGACACCTGAGTGATAAAACGTTGCACAATTGGTTTTCTAAAATTGACATTGAAAAAAAAGTGTCCTCATGCAAGTTTTACTTTGTCAAACTGTATTGTATACACATGTAAGTTGGACCCCTATATAGATATCACTGAAGTCTATAGCTAAAAAAAAAGATAATCCCTACCTACCATCCCTACTTTTTTCAGGACTGAGACACGAGACACAACCTTTTTTTCCTAGGCCTCATGATAGCTTGGAATTTTCCTTCTCGTAAGTCAGATTAAGGACAGAGGGGAGATGTAGTTGGTAGACTTGATGTGGAAAGACTTTTTCTGGATCAGTGGACTCTGAATAAATGAGAACATCCTGCTCACAGAATTTGCTGGCCTTGTGATCAGCCTAACAGACATAGATAAAGGGTTGGGTTGGGGAGGTATAGAAAGTAGTAGAATGAAAATAATGGGCTCTGACTTCCAATACCATACCTGAGACACAGTGGATTTAACAAGACACTGCATGCCCCTTCGGCTTTGAAAAGCTATGGGACCTTTACTTATTCTTTACCATTGCTGAAAGACATGTTTTGCCAAATGTTGTTCTCTACGAGAAAGGAGATAAGTAACTTAATTTCCAGCTTGATGAAACAAGAACGCTTTTGTACAATGATATTATTAGTGACAGGGAAACTTCAAAAGTTGAATGTTTTTGTGTTTCTAAGGTTTGATGCTTTGCAAGCATTTTTTTGTGTTCAAAGCTCTGTTAGCATTTTTCTTAGTTAAGAAAAGGGAGGAAATTAAAGAAGTTGAATCTTTTCAACATATTGTGTCAAAAAATCCCCAGCTATTTCATTGCTGATATTACAGGTTATATGAAGGCTTTGGAAGTGTGTATGGTGGCAAAAACTGTACCAATGACTTGTGTATACATGTGTATGTAGACAGTATCCATAGAACTGTACTAGATCTACCATTCCAATCAACAAACCATGTACAATATCTCATTTCAAACTATCCAGTAACTCTTCAAAATAACATTGAAATGTAATCAATGTTTGAAGACTTATAAATAACTGAGCTGACTTTGATACCTTTATTAAGTGTAGGACTTATACAATTCTAAATAAGGAAGCAAGATGTTGTTTCTCTGGAAATATTGGGTTGTGTGTATATATCCTACTTTGTGATATTATGACATGTATAACAGTACTATGATTGGGGTATGCTATTGAGGCATGTCTGTCTGCAGTAACAATAAAAGCACAGCTACAAGATTTACTGAAATGTTCTTCTCTTCTGTACCATGATCTGTTGAGTAAAAGTCTTGTATATATTGGAAGACTCTGGAAAGCACAACAAGTGTACCGAATGTTTACAAAAGGAAAACATTGTTTTTGCTCTATTTCCTCTTCCGTTCCAAACACTGAGGTAGGTCAGGGGTCGTTGCAAATTCTTCAGTTCAGTTACAATGAATCGTAGAATTACAATATAAATAATATATACAAAGTCTACAAAATTCAAACACTATCTCGGTTCGTATATCTCATCAGTATCAAACATCCAAGTTTCAGTTCACAAATGTAGTCATTCTAAGTGACTCGACGCAGTCGGTTTTTAAAAGCTGCAACTGACGTGGCCGTTCTCATATCAGTTGACAAGTTATTCCACAGTACTGAGCCTGAGTAGGAAATCGATCTTCTGTATACTTCCCGACAAACCCTTGGCACATACAAAAGGTCAGATACACTTTGCCGCGTGGTTCTTATTGCCCTATCACTACAGTATTAAACAGTTCTCTCATGTAGGCTGGTAAATAGTTGTTAAGACTCTTGTAAGTTAGCAGGGATTTCTGGTCTCTGTGTATGGATCTGATGTCTTTCCAGCCCAGTCGAGTCCGTACTTCAGCCGACGGCGTTCTGTGTAGGGCTCCTAGCAGCAGCCTACCTGCCCTGTTCTGCATCCATTGAAGTTTCTGTAGATCTTGCTCTGGTGCAGTGTCCCAAACAGTACTTGTGTAGGTTATGTATGGTAGAAAAGTGCTGTTGTACAAAGTACGTAGTGCAATAATACATAGACAACACATGAAACCTGTGTTTGAAATAGGGCTGCGGACCGGTACACTGTACCGGTCCAATACCGTAAAAATCGTTTCGGTACAGGTCCAAAATACCGGATCATGAAGTAACGAGTATATACCGAAATAGCTAGTTTACACCATGTATATGACTAAAGATAGGTAAATCCTACCACAAAGACGAAAAATTAGCACTGGAAAAGACGTAAACACCGTCGATTGATTTGAGATCCTCAGTCTCACGAGACATCGCGAGAGTGTGGCTGATCCAGGGTTGTGATTGGAAGATACTGACAAGTTGTCAACACTTTATTATTGTTTGTGTCATGATTGAAAAAGTGAAGAACACGTGTTAATTTGTCAAATTGTTCAGGTACAGGTACAGGTCCGGACCTGTACCTAAACCTCTGTACCGGTACCTGTACCTGTACCTGATGTTGCGTTTAGGTACGCAGTCCTAGTTTGAAACATATTATTACTTATTGTATCGAGAATCGTGTACACAGCAATATATTGCTGTTTGTATTATAAGTCTGCACTAAGTAAAGTTTTCATTTTCTTCCGATATGGAACGCCTTAAGTTTGTAACAGTGAAAAGTGGTAACGAGGAAATATTAATGTTACAATTGTAACTTACCACAAAGTGTCAATAAACATAAATAAATAAATGAATGTTGCCTTCAGCTGTCCCATTTTTCCTGCTCACACACCCCTCTCATTCAGAATGGTCAAGACCATCTTGGCCACCCCTCTATCTATAATGTGAGACTCCTTTAACCTTTCACATCTAGTTGTAAAGTTGTAGCCTCTACCAGGCTTCGGGAGGCTGGAAAGAGTAGAAATTGGCTAAATAGATAACATGGCAGGGGAGTTGGTCTGCTCCAGAGTACACCCGGGTGCGGCAAACAGTACTCTCTTGCTGACCAATTCCCCTGGCATGTTAGTCTATTTGACCAATTTCTACTCTTTCCAGCTGCCTCATGAAGCCTGGTAGAGGCTAGTAAAGTGTCAGATAACCTAATACCAGCCCAGAAGAGAACAAGAAATAGCCATGCCTTCAAGTACCAGAGTTATCAACCAAGGATTGAGGTGTTCAAGAATTCATTCTTTCCTAGAAATATCGCAGAGTGGAACTTGCTGTCACCAAATACAGTAGGAGCATTGTCATTAGATAACAATGTCTAGAGTTAGATGTCCAAGGGCTAGGTGTAACAAGTCGATCAGTACAAGGTAGCCAGCAAAGCTGGTGTGTTACGCCTTAGGGAGGTTATACCAACTATACAGATACAGAAGCTGGTGTGTTATGCCGAAGGACGGTTATACAGACTATACAGATACAGACGCTTGTGTGTTACGCCAAAGGGCAGATTTACCGGCTATACTGATACAGAAGCTGGTGTGTTATGCTGAAGGACGGTTATACCGGCTATACAGATACAGATGTTTATGACTAAGAAGGTCTCCCGTGCTCTTGCCCGAGCGTAGGGTGGTGCCAATCTCCATTTCATAGCCCTTGGGCGACACACAATTGTGCAATGCACTACAGCAGGGGGCTAGTCCGCTGGTAGTGCTGTGTGTTTGACCTTCCCACACTCTTTCTCATATGTGCTGAGTGCTAAGCAGAGAAAGAAGTATGTACCATTTTTAAAGTCTTTGGTATGACCCGGCCGGGGTTTGAACTCACGACCTTCTGGTCACAAAGCAAGCACTCTACCAATTGAGCTATTGCACCGGCACTTTATGACTAAGCTGACCCAAATTTAGGGGAGACATGTTGGAAAAAGCCCCGGCACCACGTCAAGGTCTGTCTCCATTGCCGAGGAAATTTGGAAGACATCTTCCTGCCACGACCTTCAACATCCTCCACCTTAAGATTACCAACCGAACAAGGAACTTTCAAAGTCTTGAGTGTCACTTGGCCAAGGAGCTATTAAGGTAAATTCTCTTGAAAAAGTTTTTAAAAAAGGAAATAGTTAAACTATTGTTTCTCTTCTCTACTATATAGTTTTTCTTCTTTTTTGATTTAGTTATATTCCAATTAAAAACAGTTCTATTTCAAAGCTGCACCAAATGTTATAAAGACTTATTTGAACCAAGTGTCACTCAAGACTCTAAAAGTTAACATTACTTGTGGAGGTTGTTGCTAGCCATGTCAGGAAGAATGTCATAGGGCCAAAACCGAGCGCCAAATAGAATTACTCCATAGAAAAAGTCATGGAGGGAGAGTTTTAATCTTTTATTCTTGCAAAATCTACTATGCAAGAAAGAATAGCAGAATCATTGAAGCCAAAACTGAGTACCACATAGAATTACTCCATAGAATATGTCATGGAGAGTGAATTTTAGTCTTCTATTCTTGCACCATCTATACTAAGCAAGAAAGAATAGCAGAATCATCATGTAGCCAAAACTGAGTACCAAATAGATTTACTCAAAGAATAATAGTTACTCACTCACTCACTGTCCGGTTTATCGTCTGTTGTTCCCCGTCTTCCGAGGGTTAGACGTGCTTGCACTATACATCTGGGGCTTAAATGGAGAAAGTAAATGGAGAAAGAATTTAGAATGGGACGCAGAGAGAGAGGGTGGAGAACCCTTCTATACCCCATCGAGATAGGCTGCAGGGGATCTGTCAGAAGATCGTTTATTTAGACCCTGTGTACGTGTAGAGATCTTGCCATCAACCAGAGCCAACTGGCACAGAAGGTAGCAGAGGAAGTAGAGAAGTGCTGAGCTTTTGGCTGTGGATCAAGCGGACCGAGAAGGGAAAACAGTCAGCATAGCCCAGTAGAGAGAAGAAGAGAGGCAGAGCGGAGACGTTCACTCTCCCCAAGAGGGTGTATCAGCAATAGGGGATGAAACACCCAAGGACTGGTGGTCCTGACAGACGATCTCGTCTACTCTAGGTGCCGGAAGGCACTGTAACCAGTGAAGAGCTGCTAGGCAAGTGAGAGACCAACCTCATGCTGTATGTTCAAGTGCAAACAAAGTTGTTGTTGT